CACAAAGGGGAAAATATTGTGAAAAGCCACATGGTGTCTACCATAAAAAAGAATGAAAACAGGCTCCCTGTTGATACAATTAGAAAATCATGGAAATGCAACAGGAGGCACAGTCATTTTGAGGGCTTGGGGGGGCAGGTCGGGTGGACCGCATGCTACTACTTCTGCCTGTTCAGCGGCAGTTCCGGTTTCCCGTGTAAACAGCACTTTGCTTGTCCTTTGGGGGAATAATTTCTCCATCCTTTATGTGTTGGGGGGAGGGTCTGTTTTAGTCCTGGCTCCAGTCTTGTCATAGCTGCTGGAATTCTTAGAAAGAAAACTCTTTTACTGCTAGTATTGCTGGATATAAGTTTGGAGAAGCTGAGAGAGACACGGAGAATGAAGTCACTACGGAGGAAGGTCAGCTGGAGAGATGGGGAGAGAAATTTGGGCTGATGTCATCATGTAAATCTCCAGAGGCTTTCCTGGCCCTCAGTCATTCTGTGAACTTCTCAGTTACACAAGGAGCCATGAACATTTCATCAAGGACCAGCCTCATTCCTTCGCCTGTGTTCAGGAGCCAATGAGAGTGGCGTGGGCCCCCCTCTGAATGTGTAGGAGAGTACTTTCCCAAGGGCAACGTTTCTACAAAGGGGAGGCAATTGCATGGCAAATGTAAGGTTAATTGGATAATTGATGTCGGAAATGATATGCATTTAAAATATATTGATACTAAAAGCAGATTAATTGTCGGAACTAATTATGTAGTCAGTTTGAAGGAATTCTGACATTGGTTCAAGGAATCTAGGCCAAATGATTTCTCCTAAATTATTTCTTTATTTCAAAGGAAAGTGATTTCTGTATCTTACCTGTTCTCTTTGAGCATGGCCATAACCCACGTGGGTCATAGTTGCTGTTTCTTCCTTCCTAGATCATGCATCCTTCCAACTGACACTGAGCTCCTTCCAAGTACCAATTGCTTTTCTAAGCTGGCGGTGCAACATTGTACCACACCAAATTCCTATCCCACAGACTATAGGGACTGAGGATAGAGACAACGGCACCTTCCTCGGCTCTGTACTCTGTCCTGCTGCTTCCTGATTCTCTTTCACTGAAAAAGCTGCTGAACATGAGGAAGGTCTTCTGTGGAAGTTCTGGATTAAATTGATAGGCTGACACATTATCCAATACTTGCATATCTGTCTGTGAATGGGCATGTTAAGGTTTTTGTTTGTGACCATGTATGTCACGCACAGACTGATTGCTAGACAACCTGGCTCAAGTTACAACTCTGGGCCTCCATTTCCCATCTGCAAAATGAGGATCATCGTAGTAGCAATATCAACTTGTGGGGAATAAATGCATGTGAATAATTTAGCACAGTACCCCCTAAACACAAGTTTAACAAATTTATTTAATGTTATTAATCAATGTGTTAATTAATATTAATTATCATTAACACATTGCTATTTAACACACTATTATAATCAATACATGTAAGTATTATTTCATATACGTTTGCCCGATATTCCTCAATGGAATAAAATATGTAATTGTGGCTTTCACTTTGTTTCTTTCACTTAATATGTATTGCATACCCTACCGTGTGCTATGCCTATGATGGCAGATTGTATTTTTCAGAGATGACTGAAATACCTCTCATTCTTGTCATTACCCAGTCTAGTGGCATGGTCTATTTCTCCTCTCCAGATTGTCACTACCCAGTCTAGTGGCATGGTCTAATTCTCCTCTCCTTCATTCTGGGTGGGCTTGTGACTTACTTGTAGCCATTGAAGGTGGCTGAAATATGTGACTTCCAAGGCTAGGCCAGAAAAGGTGATGCAGCCCCGAGGCCATGCTGAGGCCACATGAAAAAGCCCTGAGTGTACCTGAAGAGAGGGAGATGCCCAGCTAACCCCCTGCTACTCCAGCTTTTGCTGCCATCTGATTGCAATCACACAAAAGATCCCTGCAATGAATTGCAATTGCACGAAAGATCCCGACCAGAACCACCCAGTGAAGCCCTCCCCATATTCCTGACCCACAGAGATCATGAGAGAGAAAAAAATTATTAGTGTCTTAATAATAAAGTTTTGGGTCCAGCAAGCGGCATAATGGTTAAGGTGCTTAATTCCCACATGGCTGATCACAGTTCAAGCCCCAGATCTGGTAGCTTGCAAGTCATGCTGGGTGAGTGTGTATATGTGACCAAAATCCCAGGAAGAGAATGGAGGGGAAGGGATTGAGCCTTACCAGTCCCTGAGGGGGATGATTTCTCACTTTCTCCCTCTCTGGTGAGCACGCACATCCTATGGCAAAAACTTTAAACAACAACAGCAACAAAATCACACAAAACAAGTAAGTTGTGGTGCCTAATGCATTTTTCCCTCTATTGTGGTAGAGGGTGTGTGTGTGTGTGTGTGCGCATATGAGAGCGAGAGGGAGAAGTGTGTGTGTGGGGGGAGAGCAACATCCTCCACAGTGGCTGTTCATGCCATGATCCTCTTCTTCCAGTCCATCACATCCTGGCACTTGTGTGGGTGCCCAGCATGTTTTAAGCTAACCAGGCTGGGGGTTCAAACCATGGTTGTCATCTGGGTTCCAGCTCCTCTTGAGGAACGCACAACCCCTGTGCCACAGAGCTAGCCTAGTTTGGGGCTAAATACCTACCTTTAGTTTCTCAAGACAAAGCATTAAACAGATTTACTTTTGTGGAATTTCCATTCCAGATTTTTCTCATTTTGGCAAATGAGGAATAACTATTTTCAAGGATGTAATTATCTATTGGGTAGCTGTTTGGGCCTGTTATTAAGCCTAAACTTGTAGATACAACTAAGCAAATAAATTACATTTATTTACTCACTTACACTTTATTTTATTTAGTGTTTTTTTTTTTATTTTTTAGATTTGCGCTAGGGCATGTACACTTGCTGGAGAGACAGAGAGAAAGAGAGAAGGTGAGAAATCACTCCCCGGGGGAGGAGGCCATGTTGCAATCCCTTCTCTAGTCTCCTCTCAGGATTTTGGGCACACACGCACAGGCTCCCAGCATGTGTTTCAAGCTGCTGGGTCCAGGACTCAACTAAGGAGTTGGCCATGTGAGATCCAGCACCTTACCGACCATGCCACTTGCTGGTTTCAGTTATGCGTTTTAAATAATTTTCTCTACATAGATGGAATACCTTCTCTGATCCTTTTGTTAAAAACCCCTTCTCCATATTCCCAAGCAGCCAGGCCTTCTGGCCCAACTTTTCAGCAGCAGTTATTTCTGTTTGCTTTTCCCACTGACCAGCACAGTAAGTGCTTTTTTGTTTTAGTTTGTTACTGGGCATGTGCACTTGTTAGAGGGAGGGAGGGAGGGAGAGAGAGAGCGAGCGAGCACACTCTCCAGAGGGATGGCCACACCAATCTTTTCTCCTCCAGGCATTTTGGGTACACAGGCACACACACTGGGTATGTTTTTCAAGCTGCACCATCTGAGACTGGAAACAGTACTGTTGGCCATGTGGGAGCCACCAAGCCACTGGCTGGCCCCATAGTGGGTCTTCTGAAATACAAACAAACCCAAACAAAACAGTTCCTGGATATAGACATAATTATTCAAGGATAGTCCCTATGTGCTAGGAGTTCACAGTTCAGCCCTGACCCTGTGGAGTCCAGACTAACAAATGCAATGAGTGAGCTATCAGAATTGAATCCTGTGGTCCAAAAGAGGGACCTGCTAGTGGGAGGTGGAAAGGGACATGGAAAACATTCATTCATGTATGCCACAAATATTTATCAAGCATCATAGTACACTTAGCACATGGCAAACACTCAGTATTTGTTATTATATTGCCAGCCACTGCTGTAGGTGTTGGGAAGCAACAGTGGACGAGAAGACTGCGGTGGCACGTGCCCTCATGAAGCCCACTGTGTAACTAAGGACAAGCAGTGGACGTAATTATGTAAAACTGTACTGGGTTCCCAGTAGGGAAATAATTGGCAGCTGAAATTCTCATGAGGATGTGAGGTCCCTCGGCGGGAGGCAACCGAGGGCGGGTTTTGAGCAGGAGTGGCCGTGAAAAGGATCGATTGTAGTAGGCGGGAAGACTGCGGGCAAGAAGGGCTGGTAATTTTAAGATGCAAACATTTTCTGCCTCAGTGGAAGAGGTGCGTGTGGATGCTTGGTGTGCTCGGGGTTTCTCCTGGCCAGGAGGCTGTATTTGAGTGCAAGCTCGGTTGCCTAGCAGGGCAGGGCGGGCTGCGGTTAAATGCAGCCCTAAATCCCACATTGTTTAAGCTCGGCACATCTAGGCTCCTCCGCATCCCAGACCAGCAGACGTATCATCTAAGGCTCGGATACGGGCCACAGCAGGCGGGCAAATTCCAGGGTGGCGGGTACTTGCAGATGGGATTGCTCCCAAGACTCTGGGTCTGCAACGGCGGGCAGGAGGGGGCGGGGTTTGCGCTGCGGACCTAGGCGGTGGCGTGGGCCCCGCCCCCCGGCCTAGGCCCCGCCTCTACAACCCTCTGATTGGCTCAAGCCTACGGAAGGGTCGGGCCTCCCCCGGCGGCCCGGGGGCCCGGCTGAGGAGTGCGCGCCGATTGGTCCGGCGAGGATTAAGTCATCGCTAGCAGGTTCGAGCGGCCCGGACGCCGGCCGGGCGGCAGAGGCTGCTGTGAGAGGGCGCTTGAGGTTGCTGGAGAGCCAGCCAGCAAAGGAGGCGGGGAGGCGGCGGTCTCACTCTCACGCTTGCTCGCTCGCTTCCCGGCGCTCCTGCGGGTCTGCTGCTTTGCTTCCTGCTCGTGCGTTGCTCCGTGGCGCGCGGGTGGAGCAGCCGCCCATCGACCGCGTCTCGGCTTGATTCGAGAGTCGTGAGCGCCTACGGACACCGCACTGGGGACGACCCGGCGCCACACCTGTGGAGCCGGCAGCTGTCGGGGGTGCCGGCCGGGGTCCAGCCGCGTGCGTGCTCTGGGCGGCTAGCGGTCCGGATCCCGGGGGAGGCGAGTCCGCCCGGCTGGGCGCCGCGGGCACCATGGGGCTCCCCGCACTGGAGTTCAGCGACTGCTGCCTCGACAGCCCGCACTTCCGAGAGACGCTCAAGTCTCACGAAGCGGAGCTGGACAAGACCAACAAATTCATCAAGGAACTCATCAAGGACGGGAAGTCACTCATCAGCGCGCTCAAGAGTGAGTGCGGGGACGCAGCCCGGGGGCGGGCAGGGCGGTGGGGCGTTGCTCAGCCCTGGTCGCCTGCCGCCCGCTGGGTTTATGCCTTCGGGGTAGTGAGTGACGGGTGCCAGTGCCTCCCTGGGGCAGGAAGGATACGCAAAACGGGCGCGCACCATCAGATGGGGACAGAGAGCGGTCGCCCAGCCGTTTGCGTCTGGGGATGGCCAGGAGGTGACCAAGCGCGAGTGGCGCTCTAGGGCAGCGGGGTGGGTGTGCGCGGAGCACAGGTGTCTCGGGAGCGGGACGAGAGTGCCCAGCGCGCCGCAGCCTGTTCGGAAACCTTATCACGTCCACGACTCCAGCTCCCTTCGGGGAAGTGTTGCTCACCCTCGGGTGCCCAGCCGTGGGAATGGAGCGTGTCCTGTCTTTCTAGGAGGCGCTGCCTCCTCTTGGGAAAGGGGGCTTGTGACCGTCTCGCTCCCAGTACGCAGCTCCTGCCTAGGCAGGGCCGCGGGTTCTCTGTCTGGGTGGAGTGGTTGGTTAGCTCGCGATTCCTGGGAGCACTGGCAGCCGGTAACTCCCGAGTCTGGAATCGGTGCCATGTACGTGTGCAGGTTCTGCGTCTTGTGCTCAGCAGAAGGTGATAGGGGTGGGAGTACAGCACCAGAGTGTTCCTTTACTCTAAACTGTGGGCGAGCGTTTAAAAATAGAAGGAACGCATCCCCACTCTCCCTCTCCCGCTCCCTCGCTCTCCTCTTCACCTCTCCCATTATCCTTGAAAACTCAGATCTGAGCAGGGATGTCTTTAATCCTCAGAAAGGAGAATGTTAACTTTCAAAGATTCTCTGGCCTTTTGTAAATCAGTTTTTGCTCCCCCCTCCCCCTTTCAGTACCAGGGGAGAAATGAAATTTGCATCCTGCTTGACTTTTGCTGAGGCAGAGTTTCTCCTTCTGGGCAAAGGAGAGTACTTTAGGGATGAGCACCTTGGATGGTGAGGTTGTCGCTGCCTTTTAGGTTTACCCATTTAAAAATAGTTCAGTCCATCTTTTCTTTTTGAGAATCAGGACCATATGAAGGCAGAGAGTGGAACTGTCTTTGTCTTTTTATACTTTTCCTGTCTCTCTTAGGGGTTTCTTCCTAGGTGTTATCTTTCAGCTAAGAAAGGTTGCCTTAACAAATTTGAGTCCTCCCTGTGAGAATTGTCCCCAGGCCTCTTTAAGCCAGACTTAATCGAAGTCAAATGGCTGACATATCATTTTGTGAGCCTGTTGCTTCTACAAATGAAGGCAGAGCTGGTGGAAAGTCAGGACAGTAATGAAGGCTGGACTGTGATGTGAGGCTTTCCAGACTTAGGGTCTCTGCAGGAGGCTGTGCCTTACCTGAAGCATAAGAACCATTGTTAGGGGACCCCTGGTTTGGAGTACGTTAGGGGCCTACTTATAGGTTGGCCCAGGATTTATGTTCTGAGATCTTTGCCATAGGGTGTGTGCGCTCACCAGAGAGAAAGATAGAAAGTGAGACACCACCCCTCCCCAGGGTGGATGGCCACTCTGCAATCCCTTTCCCTCCATTCTCCTCTCAGGATTTTGGGCATGCACCCACACATGCCCAATGCGAGTTTAAACTGCCCTGTCTGGGACTTAAACCACAGTCAACTACGTGGGAGTGCAGCGGCATAACCATTATGCAATCTGCTGTCCCCCCCAGGATTTTTCATTGAACCCCAGGCTGGCTTGAATTGATCCTCTGCTTCACATAGCAAATGTTTGGAGTGCAGGTTGTATGCTAAATATTGCACTGGGCACTGGGCGTGAATATTCCACTCCCCTGTGAGAGGTGTGCTCCATGCCAGGCATGGAGGGGCTTCACCCCTGAAGTATCGTCATGTGCTTTCATTCATTTTCAGAATGAGAAAATGGAGGCTTTGGGGAAGAACTAGTCCAGAGTCACAGAGCTCTAGCAGTGGGGTTAGAGCTTTTGAACCTCTCTGGTCTGAATATTGCCCCACCCCACTTGCCTAGAATAGAACCCCCTGGACCAAGCCTCCTAGAATTTGAACTTTACGTTTTGTATCTTAGCCTCCAATCTGAGGAGGTTGCATTTTGGTGACTGACGGTGTTTTTAGGGGGCAAGAGTTCTTTGGGTAGGAAGAAACATTGCAGTGAGGAGGGTTCAAGGGTTAAGTTGTTTAATGGAATGGACCAGCCTTGTAACTAGGGGAAAAGACGGATGGGGAACTCGTTCTCGTCTCTCTATAGCCAGCATTCTTACCTTTCTCTACTCCCAGTATCGGCTACTTGGATAAATCACATGACCTATAACAGTGGTGGAGTCAGTTGCTGTTCCTCAGAATTCAGGCATGCTGAGATCATGAGATGCTTACTACCTTGTGTTCTATTGTAGTGTGTGCGTATTATTTTTCTTCAAATCATCTTTATTACTGCTATAAATGGAAAGGCAATTTTTTTCCTGTACAATTTAGGAATAAATACAAAAATTAAATACATAATTATATAAGTAACCTTGGTTTAGATGATCTGTAGTCTCTTACAGCTCTGAACTTTTATGGCTTTCTTTTATAGTCCTATTTATCTTATTTTATAGTTATTTGATAATTAGTACGTACAGACCTTTGGGGTTTAGGTTTCCTTTGTATATCAGAGGCAATAAAACGTTCTCCAGGGATTACCAAAGTTCAATTAGGTCATTGTTATTATTTTCACTTTATGAATGTGGAAAGGAAGATCAGAGAGGTCAGTAACTTGCCCAAGGCAACACAGCAATTAAGTATTTAAATGCCAGTTGTCAAATTCCAAAGCCAGTGCAAGTTAACCCTGAAGCAACATTGTTTTCTAGGATTGTAGTATGTTTGGATCTTTAATCCCTTTGAGACTCTGATAAAAGCTATGGAGTCTGTTAAAATGAACTCCTTGAAGTCTTTCCCTGGAGTCTAATCCTCTGGCCTAGTCATACAGAGTGTAAGCAATAAAATAATTTAGGATGTACATTTAAAAAAATGCTGCTTTTGGAGAAAGTTCTTGTTTGATGTGAAGAAGTAAAGCCTTGGGAGACTCCCCATCAGTTGTTTCCAGTGCAGGTTTGTCCTAGCTTTTCCTATGAGGACTCATTCATCCACGACCCTTTCCTCTGACCTGATTTATCAGTGTCTCAGTCAAGGAGATTCTGTGTGTTTAAATCTTTATTATTATTATTATTACTTTATTTTATTTCTGTAGAGACAATGGTGGCTGGTGATAAAATTCAGACTTGCAGAATGAAGAGTTTTAGGATTTCCTGGGCTCAGATATTGACTTCATCACTCGTTACTAAGCCTGGGCTCCTCTTAGTCATATAGCTGTTGGTCTCTGTGAAGACTGAATGAATCAGTGTACATAATAAAGAAAGTGCTTCGCTTGGAGCCTGACACACTGCACCACTCACATGAACGGTAGCTGGTATTGTCATCTTTCAGCATTCAGGGTTGTCAGGACTTAGTGATTCTCAGAGCAGAAGTCACTGAGAGCGGAGGGACTTATTTTGGCTTGAATGCCATGAATTAGGCCCATGCCTCCTCCATGCCAGTTGTTGTAACTTACACTGTTGTGTGTGTATTTCACACTAGTAGGTAGAATCCTGCTAACTGTTTTTTATCACGTTGTGATTATGCCAAAAAGGCTCCTTAAGTTAAAAAGGAACAGAATTGGTAAGCCTCCTACATCTCTTCTGACAGTCCTCATAACATTCTCTGGGAGCTTAAATGATAACCTTTGTGTAGATGAACACTGTCCCCTCGGTGATTGGGCTGGCCACCATCACTAAAAGCTTGTAGGATGCGTTGGACTTCACGTATGGCTGTCTCATGGATTCAGTGGTTTCGTAGAAAGGCAGGTGGTTTCTTTTTTTCCTTTCTTTTTTTTTTTTAGAGGTTTTCACTATAGGGCACGTGCGCTCGCCAGACAGAGAGAGACATAGAGACAGAAAGTGAGAAATCACCCCCCAGGAGGGATGGTCATACCGCAATCCCTTCTCCTCCATTCTCCTCTCGGGATCCTGGGCACGCACCCACACGTGCCCGGTGTGAGTTTTAAGCCACCGGGTCCGGGACGCGAACAGCGGTCGACTACGTGGGAGTCCAGTGACATAGCCATTACTCTAACTGCTTGTTCCCAAGGCAAGTGGTTTTAAGGGCTGGGGTGGGATTTCAGGAACTGTGCTTCCAGCCTGACAACTGATTTTGGACTTGTTGCTGGGGGTGTGCCCCTTTGAACTTGATTTCTGCTTTCTAAGATAGTCTGGCCAGGATGTAGGGGGAAGGCGGGGAGAGAAATGCAATGAAAATAACAACTTTATCTGGGTTTACTTCACGTTACCATTCAGCTCCCACATTTAAAGCATCCAGTTCTTGCTTTGTAGTGCATTCGTGGAGTTGTGCAATCGTGATCAGAATCAATCCTAGAACATTTTCTTCACCCCAGAGTGAAACCCTGTCTCCATGAGCAGTTACTTCCCGTTTCCTCTTAACCCCGCCAGTCCTAGTCAGCCACTGATACATTTTCTGTCTTTTATAGATTTACCTATTCTGGACAGCAGGAGTGTAATTTGGTCATCTTCTAGGTGTTGGTGGCCTACTTCAGGCATCGAGTTCTTGATTCGAATATTAGGTGGGGGAATGGAATAGATAAGCTGCTCTCCTTCAAATCAGGGAGGTTTGAGTGGAGGTGATGTCCTAAAGACAAAACGGTGTCCCAGGGTCTAGAGAAGCCCTGATGTGCCAGGTGTGTCCAGCCAAGAGGGGAGTGGATTCATTCCAGTTCATGTTGCTTTGATGGATGCAGAGGAGGTAATGGAAACTAGACTAAGAATCTAGCCTTGTCTCGCCACTGAGTTTTCAGTCAAGTTGAGACAAGGGGTGTGGTACTGAATAAAAGAAAGCTATATTTGTAGTCAGTATCTTGCTGGGTGACATTTCTTTTGCAAGATGAAGTGAATGTATATATATTCCTTTAGTTGAGTCTAT